GAGAGAAAAGAGCAAAAGAATAGCAAAAATAAATGAAAAACTGCAACAACAACAAAAAAATCAAGGAATGGAAAGAATGGAAAGAAAAAAGAAGGAATCCGAAAAAGGAAAAAAAAAAAAAAAAGAACCCAGGAAGGGAAAGAGAAAAAAGAATAAAAACAAACAACAACAAAATTGGTGGTATGGGACAGTGCACCCAGGCTCTGTCAAGGCACAAGGCACACGGGGACTGGGATAGAATTCCTGCCAGTCAAGAGGTGGGTGGAGGGCGGGGGATGGCCACATCTCTGCTCACCAAGAGGATGTGGAGTATAAGAGTAACAAGGAGAATATTACACCTTTCTAGTCATCAGCCTCCAATGATGTTGCCCATGCTGTCCTCGGCAAGTGAAGCCTATCCTTAGCTTCCTTCCCAGATTAGAATGCCACCTGCAAATATTCAAAATGGCTGCACCCTCAGGACTGCTGGCAGTTCATAGCTCTGCCTGTCTCCTTCTTCACTGCTTTCCTTTCTAGTTGTCAGCCACCAATGCAGTTTCCCGTGTGTCTTTGGTGAGCAGAGACAATTCTTAGGTTACTGCCTGAAATGAAATGCCACTTGTCAATATTCAAATTATCCATGCTGTCAGAAATACCTAGCATCACAGCTCCATTTGTCTCCCTATTCACTGTTTTCATTTAGGTTCTTCTACTTGTTGGTATCTAATCCACTCCTTTATCCTTCCCTCCAAAGATCAGGGTTCCAGAATTATCTTCTGTATCTGTTTCAATTGGTTTCTCATTTCTTTGTTGTAAAGGGTCTGTGTAGATCATCTGTCTATTTTGCCATTTTGCTGGAAGTCTCCCTTTCCTGTCTTTTTAATGACCTTTTGCTTTCTTCATGGATGATGTTCTTGATGTCATCCCACAACTCATCTGGTTTTCGGTCACTGGTGTCCAATGCATCAAATTTATTCTTCAGATGGTCTCTAAATTCAGGTTGGGATATAATCAAGGTCATATTTTGGCTCCTGTGGACTTGTTTCAATTTTCTTCAGCTTCAACCTGACTTTGCATATGAGCAACTGATGGTCTGCTCCACAGTCAGCTCCTGGCCTTGTTTGGCTAAAGATATTGATCTTCTCCATTGCCTCTTCCCACAGATGTAGTCAATGTGATTCCTGTGTATTCTATTTGGCAACATCCACATGTATAGCTGCTATTTATGTTGAAAAAAGGTATTTGAAATGAATAGGTCATTGGTCTTGCAAAATTCTATCATGCGATCTTCAGCATCATTTCTATCATCAAGGCCATATTTTCCAAAGACCAGTAATTATTCTTCATTTCTAACTATTGCATTCCAGGACTTCTGGTAAGATGGAGAGATAGGCAGACAAGTGACACAGACCCTCTTCAACAAAGAAAAGAAAAAACAATTGACAGAGATACAGAAAATAATCCTGGAGCCCTGAGCTTTGAAAGGAACTATGCAGAAGTGGATTAGGCACCAACTAGTAGAAAAACCTGAATGAAAACAGTGAGTACAGAAATGGTCAGAGCTGCGGACTGTCAGCTACTCTGATGGACCAACAGCCTGAATATTTCCAAGTGGTGTTGGGACCTGAGAATTGACCTAAAGATCAACCCTGGTCACCAAGGGCTGCAGGGGCAACTGCGCTGGTGGCCTATGACTAGGAAGGAAAACAGCAAGGAGGGAGACAACCTGAGCTGTTGACTTTCCACAGTCCAGAGGGTGCAGCCATTTTGATTGTTTACACACGGCAGCCATTTTGGATATTTAAAGTGATGATAGCATTCTCATTCAGATTCCAGGTGCCTAAGAATAGGCTCTGTTTGCCAAGGCCGGCAGGGACACACAAGAGGCTGACAACACAAAAGGAGACAGGTGGTGAGTGTTTAAGTGCTATCTGCTAATGAATAGAGGAGCACAGTACCCTGTTTGTGTAGACAACATACAAAGAAAACGAAAATTGTGGGCAAGTCACTCCAACATGTTGTTGTTGTTATTTGCCCTCGAGTCAGACCCAACTCATAGTGACGCCTCCTTGGGTTTCCGAGGCGGTATTACTATGGAAGTAGATTGCCCAACCTTCCTTCTGAGGTGTGGCTGGTGGGTTTGAACCACCAGCCTTCCGATTAGCAGTCAAGTGCCTTAGGCACTACACTACCAGACCTCCCCTCCAACATACAATCACCAATTAAATATAAACACAAAAACGTCACAATGCCTCAGAGACAACAGAGTATCACAGTCTACACAAAAAGCAAGATAAAGCAGGAGAAACAAGAGACCAGGATACAGACCCAAAACACATCCCTGAGGAAGATGAAGCATTGGAACTCCCTGATAAAGAATTCAAAAGAATTATATTTAGGTACCTTCAATGAATTGAGACAGAGCAAGGAAAACACAGACAAAACCCTAGAACAATTTTGAAAGACAATACAAGAACAAAATAACAAAATAAATGAGAAATGATACAAAATCTATACACAGAAATCCAGAAGATTAATACCAAATTTTCAGAAATAGATAAGACATTGAATGGACAAAGGAGCAGAATTGAATCAATGGAAGACAGAATTAGGGAGACTGAAGACAAATACCTGAACACTTCTTTGGAAATGGATAAATCAGAAAAAAGATCAAAACAAAATGAAGAAAGCCTAAGGTTCATGTGGGATACCATGAAAAGGAATAACCTACATGTAATTGGAATTCCAGAACAGGAAGAGAAAAATAAAACCAGAGAAAACTGTCGAAGATTTGTTGGAAGAAAATTTTCCTGGTATGATGAAATATGAGAATATATCCATTCAGGAAGTCCAACGAACCCCTAACTATTGCATTCCAAAGACCAATAATTATCAATACATCTTGATTGCATGTTTGGTCAATTTTAAACTGCAGAAGTTGGTAAATATCTTCAATTCTACATCTTTGGCTTTAGTGGTTGGTGTGTAAATTTGCATAATAGAAGTATTAATTGGTCTTCCTTGTAGGCTTAAGGATATTATTCTGTCATGACAGCACTGTACTTCAGGATAGATATTGAAACATTCTTTGCGATGATGAATGTGATGCCATCCTCTTCAATTTGTCATTCCTGGCATAGTAGACCATATGATTGTCTGATTTCATAATGGCCAAAATCTGTACATTTCAGCTCACTAATGCCTAGGATGGGAGCTCTGGTAGCATAGTGGCTAAGACACTTGCCTGCTAACCAGACGGCTGGTGGTTCAAACCCACCAGCCACTCCTTGGAAGGAAGGTTGGACAATCCTACTTCCATAGTGATACTGCCTCAGAAACCCAAGGAGGGGTCGCTATGAGTCAGGTTTGACTCGATGGCACATAACAACAACAACAACAATGCCTAGGATATTGATCTTTATGCAGTCCATTTCATTTTTGACAACTTCCAATTTTCCTAGATTCATACTTCATACATTCCACGTTCTGATTATTAATGGATGTTTGCAGCTGTTTCTTTCCATTTTGAGTCATGCCCCATCAGCAAATGGAGGTTCCAAAAGCTTTACTCCATCCACATCATTAAGATCGACTTACTCTGAAGAGGCAGCTCTTCCCCACTATTTTGAGTGTCTTCAAACTTGAGGGGCTCATCTTCTGGCACCATATTAGACAATGTTTCAGGGCTATTCATAAAGTTTTCCAGTAATATATCAAACAGTGTTTCAATGCTAAGGTTTTCACTGGCCAAGTTTTTCAGAAGTGGATGACCCCATTCTTCTTCCCAATCTCTTAATGTATATATATACATAAATAAATATATATGTATATGTTATGTAGCTAGATGTACCATATGTATGTGTGTATATACATATATACATATATGGAGAAGCTCTGGTGACATAGTGCCTAAGGCATTTGACTGTTAACCAGAAGGCTGGAGGTGCAAACCCACCAGCCACTCCTCAGAAGGAAAGTTGGGCAATCTACTTCCATAGAGATACTGCCTCAGAAACCCAAGGAGTAGCAGCTATGAGTTGAACTGACTCAACAGTAGTAAGTTTGTTTCTTTGGTATACATGTATATGTGGAGGGGTCACTATGAGTCCGGTATATGTGGAGGGGTCGCTTTGAGTCGGGTCCAACTCGATGGCACATAACAACAATAATATATGTATATGTATGTATGTCAGATAACTTATCAAGAGCTCTTGATATATTAAAGGAGTTCTGCTGGATCTGTGGTTAAAACACTAGGCTGCTAACCAAATGGTTGGCAGTTCGAACCCACCATCTGCTCCGTGGAGAAAGATTAGGCAGTCTGTTTCCATAAAGATTTACAGGTTTGGAAATCCTATGGTGCAGTTCTACTCTGTCTTACAGGGTCACTATCAATTGGAATTGACTCAATGGCAGTGGCTTTGGTTTCTCTGGTTTTGATATCTTAAGGACATTAATTCTAATTTTTTTTTAATACTACAAATGCTCATGGTTTAATGTCTACTGAAAAAAAAAGGGACATGAACAATTTCAACTATATAAAGAAAAAACTGCACAGGAAATAAAACTGAAATGATGAGCCAAAATAGACATTATTGTTTCCTTATTGTAGAAAATAGATTGAGTGAATATTTTTGTTCCTATATTTTTTCAGTATTATCTTAACTTTTTAAATGAGCATATATTAATTTTTTCTTTTTCCTTTTTATTGTGATTTGGGTGACAGTTTACAGCGCAAAATGCGTTCCATTTAACAATTTGTAGACATTTCATTTTGTAACACTGATTGCAATCCCCATGATGTAACAACACTCTTCCCACTTCCTCCCTAATGTTTGCCATTTTATTAATTTCCATTTTGATTATCAAAGTAAACAGAACACTAAGAGTGAGGCAGGGAGAGAAGAGAAGGAGGAGGAAAAGGGGAAACAGATATATAGGAGAAAAGGGTAGAAAGAGTAAGAAATCCTTATAATTGATCATCTCACCTCAAAAAGGAGGCTGAATGCATCCTCCTCCTGACTTGTGAGGTGGACTGACAAGCCCTTAATGAAGACCCCTTGCTGGTTTTCCACGATGGTCATTGGAGTGTCTGTGGGTCCAACATAGGGCAGAGTGGACAGAAGATCAAACAGGGTCTCATTATAGATTTCCAGGTAGGAAACACGCACAGTAATGGCATGTGTGGGGCGTTCTTCAATCATCCTAAAAACCTAGATGGAAGATTGGACAGTAGTCACCAAGAGCAGAACTCCAACCACCAGAGGTATGTGATAATCCTTGTTCTAAAAGAATGTGCAATCTAGGTGGTGTGGTGGCCATCATCAACAAGAATTATTATTATTGGCATATCAAGAGATATTTATTATCATTTTGTAGTTTCCTTTTGTTTTTAAAATCATTGTGTAGATTTTTTGAGCTCTGACTTACAGATTAATACTTATACAGTGCCAAGAAGTAGAGCCATGAGTGGAGAGGACTCGGGGGTACAGACTTCTCATTTGTCTGGGGTCTCAGCACTTACAAGCCTCTTTCCTATCCATTACGTAATTCCATCCTCATAACCCTACCGTGAGGGAGGCAGAGCAGGGGCAGTACCCATTTGTAGAAGGCTCCATGTAATACAACTATTTGTGTATGGTCACTAAGCTAATAAGAGTAGAAACCAAAAAAAAACCAAACCCCAAACTCACTCCTGTTGAATCAGATCCGACTCATAGCAACACCTCCTTGGATTTCCAAGGCAGTATCTCTACAGAAGTAGATTGTCCAGTCTTCTGTCCAAGGAGTGGCTGGTGGGTTTGAACCACCAGCCTTTGGGTTAGCAGTCAAATGCCTTAGGCACTATGCTACCAGAACTCCCACTAGAAGCCAAGCTAGAATTCAACCTTCTTGATGGCTGGTAGCCTCCTCGGTACTTATCATCAGGTGACTTTGGACTGGTCCTGTCTCCTCTCCGGACCTTAATTTTCTCATCTATCAATATTTGAGGTCCCACCTTGTTTTAACAGTCTAGACCTGTGGTGTTAAATATGGGACACACTAGCTATAGGTGGCTACTGAGCACTTGAAAAGTGGCTAGTGTGAAAGAGAAACGGAATTTTATTTAATTGGAATTAAATTTAAATTTAAAAACTGAAACTTGATTCAGTTACTGGTAAACATTTGTTTGGAACAACTTGGTTATGTGACTCTATTTTTTCAAATGTAAATTTTATGAAATCTAAATACAGATCAAGTATCTCTGATGAATATTTAATGTCTAAATTGATATGTTGTAAGTTTAAAATGCACTCTAGATTTCAGAGACTTAATACAAGAACAAGAATGTAAATTATCTCATCAATAATGGTTTTATTGACTACACATTAAAGTGATATTTTAGGCATGTTGTTATTGTTATGGTTGTTGTTGTTATGTGCTATCGAGTCAGACTCGACGCATAGCGACCCTTCCTTGGGTTTCCGAGGCAGTATCACTACAGTAGATTCCTCCATCTTCCTTCCGAGGAGTGACTGATGGGTTTGAACCGTCACAAATGCTTAGGCACTACGCTACCAGAGCTCCCATTTTAGGCATACTGGGATAGTATTTTATTTAAATTAACTTCACCTGTTCATTTTTATGTTCTTAAATGTAGTGACTGGAAAATTCAAAATTATTTATGTGGTCTATACTTTTTTATAGGCCAGTGCAGTAAAACTTTAAGATGGCATTAAGGGAAGGTCTTTCGTTTCCTGAGTCCAACGAGAGAGTCCTCAGAGAACCAAGGCTATCGAACCCCAAAGGAAGGCCCTTCTGTTCTATCTTCAGTCACACGTCCTAGACCCCCAGGGCTGAGCCAGTCCTGACAGCTCACGTGGTACCTTCCTCTTCCCTGGTCTGCACTTTCAGGGGCTGTGGAAGAAGACATGGGAAGCCATAAGGAAGCTCTGCAGGATCCACAACTCCCTCATTAACACCAAGAAACAACTTGCAAATCCTTAATTATAGGATCACAGACTCATGGAGCAGCAGGAGGCCAGTTAGCATGTCCAGTGCTTTCTTTCACAAATGAGGAAACAGACTCAGCATGGGTGTGGGTCAGAGGCTGAAACCCTGGAACTCTCTGTTTCCAGAGACTTCAGGCCCTGCCCACTCCCTCCTCCCCAGCTGTGTATACCCTATCTCCTGTATAGGCTCCGACTCCTCGGAGAGGGTAGCTAGTAGCTGGTCTGGGGTCAGCAAGATCTATGGTAGAGAGAAAGGACCTGTGTGGCATCCCACCCGTGGGCCCACTTCTACCTGCTGCAGAGCACGAGGGAGGATCCCCCGGTGCCTGTAATTCTCAGTTGCCCCGGTCATGGTGTATGTCTTGCCGGCTCCTGTCTGGCCATAACACATGATGGTGCCTGCAAACATTTCAAAATACCTCCGTGACATCCAGGAAAATAGTTTCAAGGACAGCTCTCCCATCCCCCCAGGATGCTATTCCTTGGAGGTCCAGAGCAAGGTAGAGGACCCTGACATGAAGGGGGCCAGCGGAAGTAGCCAAGAACATCAAGAATTCCTGTCATTGTAGAAGGTGGGTGAGCAGGGAACAAGGAGAAAAATGAAGAGGCAAAACATGGGCATCTGCCCTGAATTTGTGGTCCACTCTTTGCTCTTCTGTTCCCTTTACTGAGAGAGGATCTGGCCCTAGAGCTTCTGATGATGGAAGGAAATCTCAGGAAACAGAAAAACTGGAACTTTTCCTAAAGATGAGGAGGAAGACTAGAGCACTGGCCTCTAGTCCTTTAACAAGGCTGTGAACCTCAAGTGTTTCAGAACTAGCCTTTTCCTGCCAATAGTGAAAATTATTCATAGACTACAAGCTCCTACAGGACTAAACTGGGTTGCTGGTTGGTCTAATCCAACTTCTAAAAACAAGACCACCACAATCAGACCTTAATCGGGTCTCATCTCACTGGCCACCCTACGGAGGCTTTCAGGTGCACCTCTCACATACTATAGTCTGTCATCACCACTAGCCCTGGGACACAAACTAGTTACCCTGGACTCCAGTTCTCACCTGCTCTTCCCCCTGACTTGAGGATCCTGTGCCAGGTCCCAAATTTCAGGCTGCTTCTGGATATTTACCCAGCAGACCTGCCAATGCTGGGCAAGGGAAATCAGTGTTTGCCTTTGCCACATGGATGATCTAATTCCTTGTACTAGGAGATTTTATAGGAGGAGTCCTAACATCAGCATCTGAGTTGGGGCTAGAAATAGTATCTCTTTACAAACTAGCAGGAGGAAGTCACTTCAGTTGAAATTAGCCCCTGGCTTGGACTCAGAGCCCATTGATGGTTCCTCAATGTCCTGTGCCCAAGACTCTCTTAACCTCCCTGGCCCTTAATTCCTCTGCCTCTACCTCCTCCGGGTCCCATTTCCTCAGGGAGTCATAAAAACCAACGAGAATATCCTTGGGTCAATAAACTCATTGCCATCTAGTCGATTCTGACTCACAGCAACCCTCTTTGAGTTTCTGAGGTGGTAAATCTTTAGGGAAATAGATTGCCCAGTCTTCCTTCCACGGAGTAGTTAGTGGCTTTGAACTGCCAACCTTCTGGTTAGCAGTCAAATGCCTTAGGCACTGTGCCACCAGAGCTCCTTTAGGTTATTGGGACCTCCTATATTATCACCAGTGGGATAAATCACAATGTTTGGGCATCCATACTCCACAGACTTTTGAACAGAAGACCTAAAACTTGGCTTGCTAATAGCAAAATACATTCTAGACAGCAGCCAGCAGATGGGCAAAGTCTACAAACTGTGATGTATTCTTTTAAGGGCAATTTCTATTTAAAAAAAAAAAAAAAACTTAGATTGTAAAAATTTCCCAGTACCATTCTTAATTTGCTAAGAAAGTCAAACTCTACTCAAGTTTTTAATGATATATGTAAATAATCCTGTACTAGATTATGAATAGTAGTAGACTGAGCATGTTGACAGAACGAAAAGAAATAGCACACAGCAGGCAGCTGAGAGAAAAATGTTCATACCCTATCAAACTTATCACAAAGGCACAGCTTCAAAACTAATATTTGAGGGGTTTAGGACATGATAATAGTTGAACCCCCATGACTTATAGTGAGCTAGGCTCATTTAATCTTCCTATGAAGGTAGTATCCCAGGATATCAGATCATACTATGCCTACAACATCCCCAAGCAAATAGTCAGTTTTTCACCATAAGAACATGGAGACAGACAAGTAAACAAACAAATGTTAGTAAATAAGGTTATATTTTATTTTATTCACCACAGAATACCTGCACCTCTTCCTCTGGGCGAAGTTCTGCAGGTTCTTAAGTAAGGCAACAGTTAATTAACGAAATTACCATTATAGCCATCCAGGGCTTGAGAAACCACATCCTTTGCGACTGTCTCATAAACCAAGTCCTGAGAAGCGTCATGGAGAACTCCATCCAGCTTGAATGACCAGTCTGTCTGCTGGTTATTGACAACTCCTCTCCGAGTATCTTTCTTTAAGTGAATATCAATGCTCTAAGGAAGAAAGAGAGACAGAAAAGAAGTTATTTGTTAAGAAATATGATTTTTAAAAATCACTAAGAGCTGAGGCCTGACCTATAGGAGATAAAAGAAGTGAACTTTAGGAAGAACAGGGACTCCCATATGTGGGCTGAAATCTTTGGGATGGGAGAAGAGAGCTCCTGCAGAGGCCACAAAATCCCTGATGGTGGATAGATCAGGAGACTGAAGCACTTCCTGGTTTCAGTACCTTGCATCCTAGTTTACAGGATATGTCTTACCTATGATAAGGAGTTGAGAAAATTGATTATATTTTTATTAAACAAGATTTAGATATATTCAGTCAGCACAAGAAGGCCTTAAATTAGGTTGAAGAGAACAGGAGGTTGGAGCCTCATCTCTCTGGTGACTGACAGTGAGGTCCCCCCCCCCCTTCAAGTTCTGAACTGCTGTGATTTCCTACTTCCATACACATGCTATGGGACAATGTGAGAAAGGATGAAATAATAGCCAGAGAAAGACTCTGGAATTCTCAGCACAGTTACTCACTGGTATCAGAGTAAATTCAGAGTATCTGACCTATTTGTAATCAGTGGGTTTTCAGACACATGGCCCTCGGTAAGGCATTGTGAAATAGCTAGCTTAAGGATTTACTGGATAAATTCATTGGCAGATTTCAGTCTTCTTGATGAGGATTTCTACTGTAAACAGATTGTTGTCAAAATGTTACACCGGCTGTCCTAATCCAAGAGACAAGACATTGTCACATGCAGAAAAATTAAGACATGGTGAGAGGTGCTCAGTTGTTCTCACACATCAAATGCTCTTGTGTTTCTAGAAACCAGGTCTAGGAGGACACCTTTCACAGGGTTACAATGAACTCATTTCTGACTGCCTGAACCTTTGAGGCTTAAATAGCTTGCCCTTGAATTCTTCCTTTAAAGACTATGTCAATGTTGCCTATATGGGCCCACAAACATTTGCTAAATGAAAATATCTAACATTCTCACGTTGTCTCTTATTATCTAAGCCTGTCAGAGGTTTCAGAAGGGTTCTCAGGGCAGTGTTGAGGACACAGGAACAGATAAATCTTTCTAGTTCTCGATAAGAAGTTCCCCCACTGTTTTGGTAAGTTTAACAGTGATCAACTCAAGGCATTCTTATTATGCTGGTAGCACAATGCCTAAGGCATCTGACTGTTAACCCACCAGCCACTCTGTGGAAGGAAGATAGGCCAATCTACTTGCATAAAGATTTATCACCTGGGAAACCCAATGGGATCACTATGAGTCAGAATCGACTAGATGGCAGTGGGCTTGTTTTTTGTTTTGGGAGATTATGTAAATGGAAGATCTGTTTACCACAAAGTTTTATAAGTATGTATAAGTGTCAGTTTTTTCCACCACAGTGATATTTAAAGGTAAACTTATTAACTAAAATGTCAGTTCAAAATGGTAACTTTATGAGCCCCCTAGGAGCTCTGGTAGCATACTGCCTAAGGCACTTGACTGCTAACCAGAAGGCTGGTGGTTCAAACCCACTAGCCACTCCTCAGAAGGTTGGGCGATCTACTTCCATAGTGATACTGCCTGGGAAACCCAAGGAGGGGTCCCTATGAGTCAGGCCGACTAGACGGCACTTAACAACATGAGCTCCCTCATCAATAAAATTGTGTGTGTGTGTGTGTGTGTAAGGGGAGTGGTTTGGACTTGAATTCTGTGTTGATCCTTCAGCAGTTGTATGGAAACAAGGTTACAAGGTTGGTAACTAAATGGGACAGAGAGAAGCCCTTGCAGGTGAAGGCAAACACATTGCACTTACTTTGTTGTCATCTCCATATTTGATAATTTCATGAGCAAAGTCATCAGTAGGTTTGACTCGGACAAATGCATGAACTTTTTTCCTAGTACTCATTCTAGCTGAAGAGAAGAGAACAAAGAAATTTTCAGTCGTTTTCATCAAACAACCATCAGAAGGGGAGGTGTGGCTCATTACAGCAGAAAAGAGTGATATGCAATCCTTTTCTTCCTATCCTGTTAGGGTCTGGTTTTTTTTTCACCCCTTGGCATTTTAGTGCTCTACCCACAGAACACTACTTAGCAAGTATGTGTACTTCCTACTTCATGGGTTGCTTCATATTTTCCACTAATGACCCCACAGAGACCAGAATACAAAGCAGAAAGGATGCCTTCTTTAGTGGCCTAATCTTAGATGTGGTTTCCAGAAATGTTCTACATCTGAGTCTTACATTTTGCCTTATTTACTATATTTTCCTCTAAAGCACTATCCAAAGCATTAAAAGTATTTTTTCTTTTCTTAACATACTTACCTCAGATTCAGCACCTCCATCTCTACCTCCATTAGCCTAAAAAGATCAGAAATATATCCCCTAAAGTACATTAAATCTAGGCCATAATCAAATCTTTCTTGTCTGCCACTCCATTGGAAGGAAAATCACAGACAGTCTCCTATCTTCTCTTCCTCTCTACCAAACTAGCTATGTTCTCATCATTTGTTTTTGGGTAGTCACACATATATAGTTGATCCTCATTATTCATGGATTCTCTATTTGTGAATTCACCTACTCACTAAAATTTATTTGTAACCTCAAATCAATACTCATGGCTCTTTTGCAGTCATTTGCAGACATACACAGGGCAGTAAACAATTTGAGTTGCCCGATATACAAATTCCCAGTTGAAGAAGAACAAGGTGACACTCTGCCTTCCTATTTCAGCTCTCAAAAATGTGTTGAATTTATGAAGAAAGTTAAGGGAACTGTAAAGAAGCATCATTTTTGCAGTCTATTTAGTGCAATGTTTTTTGCATTTTTGTGCTTTTACTTGGCAATTCACTGTTTAAAAGGGTCCCCACGTATAGTGCTATCATCTAGTGTACTAAATGTAAGAAGTTAATATGATTTTAAGTGCAAAGCAAGTGGTCACCATAAGTTGTATCTAGAAATATGGAGGGATATTAGTATTTAAAAAATCTAAAATTGCCTTTGGTAACACTCGTTGAATTTCTCTTATATAATACATGCAAAATGTTAACATTTAAAAAATTTAATGTGCTTTTAAAAAATCATTAAAAAACTAAGGAAAAATTTCTGTTATGCATGACTTTTTTTACAGTAAAAGTCTTGAAAATTAAAAAAATATATATAATAAATGCTATCATCTAGTGTACTAAATGTGCCTTATGGAGAAAATGTGTGTTAGATAAGGCTATGTATTGATCAGTTGATGAAAATATGACCAGAGGCTCATATATGGACCTAAACCCATATATTCCCTAGGATATACTAATTCAGTGTTTGTGGCATTACAAACAACTACCATGAATAACGAGAACTGACTGCATTTGTTTTTCCTCATTTATACTATTAAAAATAGCTACTATGTATAATAAAATATGTTAAATACATTTGATGTGACTTCATGGTTCAGGATGAGAGCTTATAGATAGAAGCAATGGGGAGTCAGATTTCACTAAATGACTTTCCTAATATTGAAAGCTGTCTCATGATGGAAAAGATCTTCTCGAGGTAAAAACCATAAATACCTACAAAAGGGATTGTTGCATTAATAGAAGGTTAATTGATCTCCAAGATCTTTTCTAACTGAAACATTTTATAAAGATTTTTAAAAATTGAATTGCATCACAATTCTCATATTTTATTGGGTATCAGCCCCACTGGTCAAAGCACACTAGGTCCCTGTCTTGAGAGTGCCTGTGTAAAAACATTTAATACTAATTAGACAGCAAATTTTGGTTCTAGTATCAACAGAGAATGGAGAAACAAAAAAGAATTATTAGGTGGAAGTGATAATTGCACTGATTTTAATTGCTTTAAGGGGAACTTAAAAATCAGCTTTTCAGGTATCTCATTATTTATACTAATGACAAAGGATAAAATATTGAGAGAAAATGCCAAGAGTTCCAAAGCAAGCTAAATAAAAATCAACCTGTAATCATCATTAACTGTGTTAAATCTCAAACCATACTCACTGCTGTCAAGTCAAATCCAACTCACAGCGACCCCTCCTTGGTTTTCTGAGGTGGTATCACTATGGAAGTAGATTGCCTCGTCTTCCTTCCAAGGAGTGGCTCGTGGACTTGAACCTCCAGCCTCTGGTTAGCAGTCAAATGCCTTAGGTATTAAATCTAGCTAAGTCATTTTAGAAAACAAGATAAAGGTCTATAAAATATACTAAATAACCTTATTGTTCAACACTTGGGGCAAATTAACATAGTTTTAAATTGTTCCAAGATTGCTACTTTTACATAAATAAAATTTTCTTTCTACAATCCATCTAATGTTTTAGATTTTTTGTTCTTTTTATAATTTTAATAATATTATCAAGTAGTTTATGGTCATCCTGAGACTGGTCTCTCAAGCTTCAATAATTTCACTTTTAGAGAACCAAGAGAATAACAACAACAACAAAAAAAAAAATGTTAAAAACCCATTTAACAGTAGTGATCCACAATGTAAAAACAGACTGTGAATAGAGAAAAGACCCAGGGGCAGGATATGTGCTGCATCACAGATTTTTCTTTGGATCTCCCTGTCAGGGCTGAAGTAGTTCAATAAGAAATGAGGTCTCTGCCCCTTAAAATTTCCATGGGGCAGGATAAAGGAGTTGAGGCTTAAAAAAAACCTCTCAAAACACTTTAGAGAAAAACACAACCAGCAAAGGAATTTGCTGAATTTATGAAGAGAGTTAAGGGAACATGAGGCACAGGAAGCTAACTTAACTTCACCTTCAAATTAGACAGTAGTATCAACACAGTTAATAAGGGAAAAGTAGCTTGCTTGTACTATGCAAAGCACTGTCAGAAATAAACTGACATGAAGTTTAATATATTTTTTTTAATTTTCAAGACTTTTACTGTAAAAAAAAGTCATGCATAACAGAAATTTTTCCTTAGTTTTTAAATTAATTTTAAAAGCACATTAAATTTTTTAAATGTTAACATTTTGCATGTATTATATAAGAGAAATTCAATGAGTGTTACCAAAGGCAATTCTAGATTTTTTAAATACTAATATCCCTCCACATTTCTAGATACAACTTACGGTGACCACTTGCTTTGCACTTAAAATCACATTAACTATCTTCAAGTTGCATTACTTCTACATAGGTAAGTTAGATAGTTCACAGTTTCAATGGTGTGGACAAAATAAACCTTTATTTTATTTTAATCAAATTCCTGTTATAAGCCCTTCAAACATCAAATCAAATAAGCAAATATAACATTATACATATTTACCTATTGCAGAGTATGTGCATGCTTCCTACATTTCTCAAGTAATTATGTCACCAAAGTCTTTTCCTAGCCCTCATGAGTTCATTGAGACTTTTCAATTTTTAGAAAATAAACCTGCAAGGTATTAGGGTAAGCAAGGATAATGACCTGTCCAATTTACATTTTAACATTTTTGTCTGCAAAATAGAGTTCTAGAAATGCATCTTCAACCAGGGAAACCAAAGAGAAAAGCTCATCTCCAAGTTCACTTTTGAGAGTGGAGGGAGGTATGTCTTGGTTCAAGTAAACACTCACCCCCAAGCTCTAAAGTTCTGGGAACCACAGCCCACAACAACCCCAACGGCTCATCTCTCTGCCCAGGAAGTTTCAGATGCTGCATAGGGTACCCTCAGAAAGGGACCCTGAAGAATCAGGGAAGCTCAAGTACCAGAAGAAGGGAGGCAGGTGCCACCTCTCCCTGCAGCTCCCACCCAACAGCACAAGGGTAGCACAGGCCAGTCTGAAGCATCATCTTCCCCCTAGAGCTTGTCCCTCCTCTGCCCCGCATTTTGCCACATGCACATGCAGTCACTCCATCTGCACTTCCCAAAGCCCTCCCCATGCCCGCACCCATGGCTCCAGGCATGCAGCAAGCCTTCCCTATTAACCACACCCTGCCTGCCAGTCTGCTACTGAGTAGCCCCTCAATACCCAGACATTTGGGGACCCCATGCCATTGTGCACTTACTGAAATACTGCTTGTTACTGTTCTTACGCCGCTTCATTTGAATGAGCTTCAGCTCCAAAATTAAATTACAAGCTGCTTGAAAGCAAGGACTGTGCCTTTTAACTCTTTTGAATCCCCCCACAACATCCAGAATAGTGCCCAGGACAGAACAGGTGCTCAAGAAATGGCAGTTGGTGGTCATGGTCATGGCTGGAAGTCAGAGGGTGGTTGAATCTCCATGTGTGCGTCCATCTTCTGTCACTACTGAAAGAGTGATTTATTCTCACATCCAGACCATTCCAAGAAGCAAGTGTCAACTCCCCTTCCAGATCACCTCCAACCCCTGGGCCCACAGCCCTTCCAGGAGGATGCTTGGTTTCTACCCTCCACTTTCAAGAAACCTTCTTCAGTCCCTCACCACACTCTCCCTTTTAGTCGTGTCCTTCCCCCTCACGACCTTGTGGGGAACATCCCTACCTAGTGGGCACAACCTTGAGTATTTCTGGTGTAGTAAGGTAAGCCTCAGAAGGGCCACCAGGAGTCCTCCGTTCTGCAAGGCTCTCAGTTTCCTCCTGTTTGTTTCTGAGGTGAGAATGAACAAACTTGCGACCTAAAACTACTAAAAGCTCAACAAGAGCAGAGGGAGTGACTGGTGGCTCAAGCCATAGGCTCCAGGCAGGTCCCTATCTTTCAGCGCTCCACCAGAAGTCTCATGTCCAGATCAAGGTTCCTCACTAGGTATTCTCATAACTACCTTGGTGGCAGCAGCAGCTAAACCCAGAACCACGACCTAACCTCACCCAGCCTTGCGCTAAACACAGATATGGATCCAGGCAGAACCAGAGTCTCTTCTCTCTCTCAACGTACCAGACCCCTGTCTAGAGGCCAAGCGGCAGTGGATCTTGGACCCATTCCCGTCCTTCTCTGGAGCGGCTTCCTCATCCGTAAAGCGAAGGACCCGCAGTGGCGATCCTGCAGCCCCTTCCAGTTTGAAAGCCGACGACTGCAGAAGTCCAGATGACTTCTGGTTCCCCCACCTTACGCCGCCTAAGCCTCAGGCCCGAGGTAGAACCCTCGCGAGGCCAAAGGAACGTTAGCTCCAAACACCCCAAATCATGGCCTGACTGAAGAGGTCCCCGCGATGCCGCGCTGACTGCCCCCGTTTCACAAACAAGCGAGTTAAGCCCGAGAACTCCGGGGCGGGGAAAGATGTTCAGACCCCCGCCGCTGCGCGTCACGCGGGCGCAAACTCCTGTCCAGCCTCCCTTCTCTCTAACCCCCCGCGGCGCGCGGCCCCTGCTCACCGCTCGCAAGGCCGGAGCGTGACAGAGGCAGCTGCAGCGACCGAAGCCCTGCACGCGACCTGGATGTCCCACACGTAGCTGACGGGTTGTGTACACAGTCGCCATAGCAACGAGCCGTTTCCGGAGATTCCGGAAGTCTTGGCTGGTGGCGGAAATAAAGTTGTCTGTCCTTGGCCGAGGATACAGGTTAGGGCAGGCCGAATTGGAAGACGGAAGATGGCACCTATTGACCCAAGAAGACCGCAGCAGCTGCAAGCGAGAAGCCAGGGTCAGGGCAGCAAGGGAACGAAGGCTGCCTATAAACCAGGAAGCGGGGCGGCCAGGCTTCCGGCTCAGTGGAGCCTGCCTACTACGGTGGCCGCGTAGGCCCGTCCGGCTGCAGCCCCGCACTCAAAGCTGCCGCTGGCGCACTCCCTCGCCCCGCCCAACCTAGTGTTGAGACAGCCGGCCAGGCCTGCGCAGTCAAGGCAGCCGGGGAAGATGGTGGAGGACGGCGCGGAGGAGCTGGAGGATCTGGTACACTTCTCCGTGTCCGAGTTGCCTAGTCGCGGCTACGGCGTCATGGAGGAGATCCGGCGGCAGGGCAAGCTATGCGACGTGACGCTCAAGGTACCGCAGACTGGGCGGAACGGAGCTGAGGGGAGTGGAGCCGAGCCGGGGGGAGAGAGGGACGGTGGGGGTGAGGTTGAGTGGGTAAGTTTGGGGTGAGAAGGTTTGAGAGGGACCCGGTTCAGGGAGAGAGAGATGCGGTGCGTGGGAGGAGAGGAATTAGGTCCTGTGGAAAGGAGATGAGGGACAGCTCCTCAGCCCTTGGAAGGAACGTGAGGAGGTGCGCGACTTAGGCCCGTGGAGTGGGAGACATTGGAGTGCGCGCCTCCCTATTCTGTCACACAGCGAAGAGAAAATGGACTTGCAACCTCTCTGTGGAAGAAGGGGCGGTGGCTGGCTGTGCATTCTGATGGGCACTACGGAAGCATCTTCTCTTATTTTCATAAACACGTTTTGGTGCCCTTTGAAGGTGATTGTGCTCTTGTTGAGGCGTAAACTTCTTGTAGTCATTGCCTGGCCTAGAGTTTTAGATTATTGTCTTGCTCTTAGGAGTGTTCAGAACCCGATCTGGAAATCTTTTGATGTCTCATTGGAAATCTCTCCCCTTACGCCACCCCTACTGCAAAGGTCTCAGAGGCTGGGCTTGTCAGCTGTGTAGAGAGGGGTTCTGACATCAGTAGGGAAGGGCTCTCTTAACTGCCAGTTCCTCACCAGCATTCTTGTCTCAAGACCCAGTGTCCCTTCTGTGATCTGGAGCCATACCTGCTGGAGAGGCGTGTTGTATTTCTCCTTGCCCAGTGTCTGAGCCGTATGGCAAGCCCTCCAGGTGGGGAGATGATGCTGCAAGCCCGTGCCCTTGTTGTGCTTCGATTGGAAGACTCTTGACCCCCACCAAAAAAGAGGAAGACAGAAACAAAAAACCTATCTACATGGTTAAGGAAACTTCCCTTCCACTTATTTGACTCAGCCTTCTGGAGGCACTAGAATAGAATGGCTAAGAGTGTGGGTTTGGAGACAGAAAGATTTGGATTAAAATCCTAGTTGTAACCTTGGGCAATTTTACTTAATCTTTCTAAGCCTCGATTAACAAATGTAAAAATAGGGGTGATTCCTAATTCTCAGTATTAGTATGAAGATTAAGTGAGGATATTTGTGGTATTCTTTGTACAATATCTGACCTAAACCCCTCCTGAAGGAAGTTAGTTTTCCAGGAGAGGAGTGAAGTGATCTGAGAGGGGCAAAGATCTTTTCAGGCCAGTGAGAGGAGCCAAGGGGATTGAGAAAAATGAGCTGGACTGAAGGAGGCAGAGGAAGGAACAAGAATAAAGGAGAGATTTTGTCAGCAGTGATTACGTGATGGGAGATGTCAAGGCTGCTAGAGATGTGTAAGCAGAAGAATGATGTAGTCATGTCAGTAATACTTGGGATGAGTAGAGCAGGGCTTTGAACCAGTTCTATACAGTTTGACCCCCTGCTGAGAATTTACTTTTCTGCATAAAGAACTTACAGTTCAACTAGATCACTAGGCGATTCTAATAGATCCCCAGGTGATTCTTATGTATACATTTTTTGTTGTTTATTTTTTATTGTGGTTTGAGTGAAAATATACAGAGTAAACTAGTTTTCCATTGCCTAAGGCATTTGACTGCTAACCAGAAGGCTGATGGTTCAAATCCACCAGCCACTCCTCAGAAGAAAGACTGGGCAATCTACTTTCAAGAGTTACCGCCTTGGAAACCCAAGGAGGGGTCATTATGAGTCATAAACAACTTGACGTCAGTGACTTTGCTTTTGGTGATTGTCATTCTGAGAGGTAGTTATGACAGTCTTGAACTAAACTGCCTGGATTTGAATCCTGGCTCTGCCACTTACTAGCTGTGAAAGCTTGGTCAAGTTCTTAAATACTCAGTGATTCAGTTTCTTGATCTGTAAAATGGGGATCATGTTAGTCCCTACCTGATAAGAGTGTTGAGGATTCCATTAGTTAGTACACTTAAAATAGTCATGTAGTAAATGCTCAATAAACAGTAGATATTTATTAATAATAACTTAATGAAATTGCCAGAGAGAATGGAGAAGAATGCATGTGTTCATCTTACCATTTTGAATTTATTTTAGCGTCTGATGAATTTTGGGAGATATTATCTGAGCAAATGTTAATTGCCTTCAGTAGCCTGCATTTTACAGATGGATAACACAAGGGACTAGTCAGTGGTCACAGACTGAATTAGGTATCGCTAAGACTCACTATCTCATTCTGTTGTACATAGGGTTGCTATGAGCCAGAGCTGACTTGATGGCACCTAACAACAGGAGGATTCAAAATGAGAAGAAACAGCTGCAAACACCTATTAATAATTGGAGTGTAGTACAAATGAAGTATGAGTCTAGGAAAATTGGAAATTGCCAAAAATGACACCATGCTTGGCAAGGTGGAGGGTCAGTGAGAATGAGAAAAACGTTCAATGAGATGGATTGGCACAGTGGCTACAACAGTGGGCTCAAACATAGCAATGATTGTGAGGATGGCACAGGACTCGGCAGTTTTTCTTTCTGTTGTACATTGGGCTGCTTTGAGTTGGAACCGATTTTATGGCACCTGACAACAGCAACAAAGACTACATTCCTAGTTTCAGTGCTCTGGATCAGGTGTTCTTTCCTTTTCTCTTGTTGCCTTTCTACCACAGATAATGACTGAACTGATGTCAGCTTTGCAATGTGAATTAATCTACTTCAGGTCAACATGCTCATCTTTAACAACATATTAGGAGTGTGTGGAAGTGAATATTACGAGGCATGCCACAGTCTCAAATTTTAGTGTCAAGTCTTGAATTTAGGCTTAATTTTCTTTTTGGAAACAAGCTAGTTGGGAGCCTGTTGGATAGTTGAATAGAAACTTAACAGAAAAAGATCATCTGTTTTTATCATATTCTACACCTATGTTGAATCGAACCTCTAAAAATCTGAAAACTGTGAACCCAGAAAAGTGCACATAATTACATACTTGCAAACTTCTGCTTTCTGTTTTGAGGGCAATTCCCCTGAAGCCTGACTTTGGACCTTGGATTATGAATCCAACTGAATATTATTCTCCTATCAGAATAAAAACAATGGTCATTTGGCTTGGAAAATCATCTTATCTTAAAGGTTAGGAAAATGGTAATGCAAGACTTCTTAGGAACCTATGGCATAAGGAAGAGAGGTATGTCCCCCCGGAGGCTCACATCTCGTCTTCCCAGTGGTTGGTTTCATCTCCTTTCCTCTGAGCTACCAGAGCCCAAGGGCTAAGGCAGTTCTTTTCCTGTGAGATTCAATAGGGTTCTGCCAGTTGGACAGACTCCCCAGATTCAATGAGTCTTCTCCACAACTTCTCATTCAGGAGATCTGGAGCCACCAGACTCATATATTTTTCTTCTCCCCTCAACTCACAGTATCCCCTTTGTCTTTCCATATTTCTGAGAGGAGAATGGGATTACCAAATCTGCATACTATTCTTTGACCCATAAGTTTCTAGGACAGAGGAACCCCCCCCATTCCACATATATACCCACAGACATGCACACATTTTGTATTGCTTGCTGCTGCTTGTTAATTGCTGTCAAGTCAATTCTGACTCATGGCAACCCCAACTACACATCTAGAACTGCTCCAGAGGGTTTTTTTCTTCCCCTTCAAGATTTATTTGATGTTGTTGAGACTATACATAGGCAAACATACACCAGTTCAACAGTTTCTACGTGTACAATTTAGTGCCACTGATTACATTCTTAAAATTGTGCAACCGTTCTTACCCTTCTTTTCTGAGTTGTTCCTCCCTCATTAGCATAAACACACTATCCTCTAAGGTTCCTATCTAATCTTTTGAATTGCTGTTGTCAGTTGGATCCAGTACATAGTTCTTAAAAGAGCATGATGCTTAAGCAGACCTTTTTTTTAACTAGTTAAGCTAAATTCTTGTTTCGTTTTAAGAAAACTTCAGTGGGTATTTCTGGTTTCAGGTTTAAAGATTATCTTAGGGCAGCAGCTTCAGGAATTCATCCATCCTCTGTGGCTCCAGAAAGTCTGAAATCCGTGAGAATTTGGAATTCTGTTCTGCATTTTCTCCCTTTTGGTCATGATTCTTTGGTGAGATTTTTGATCAAAATGTTTAGTAATGGTAACCAGGTATCATCCAGTTCTTCAGATTTCATGGTAAAGGAGGCAGTTGTTCATGAAGGCAATTAGCTACACATTCCATAGCCTCCTCCTATTCCTCACTCTTCTTCCTCTGTTGTTCTAGGACTCCATAGGCTTTTCAGTGCTGTCTGTGGCTTTTCAGAAGCAGGCCACCAGACCTGTCTTGCAAGGTGCCTCTGGGTGGGTTTGAACTGTTCAACCTTTTGGTTAGTAGTTAAGCGTTTAACATTTGCACCACCCAGGGACTCCAACTTTGTATTACAGGCACTGATAAATGGCTCCTAAAAGATCTCCTTACTGTAATCTTTTCAGCATTTTCCCAAGGTCCCTGCTAAGATTTTGAACCCAGATCTCAGGATTTCACCTCCAGAAGGAAGTATCTTTTCCATGAATGAAAAGCACACTGTTAGAATAGTTCCTTTTGATCCATTAAATCCAGGTAAACCATTTTTAGGAGTCGCTGGGTGGTACAAATCGTTAAGTGCTTGACTACTAGCCAGAAGGCTGGTCGTTCACAGTCCACCCAGAGGCACCTTGAAAGTAAGGCCTGGCGATCTGCTTCTGAAAGGTCACAGCCTTGAAAACCCTATAAACACCAAGCCTGTTGTCATTGAGTCAATGCTAACTCACAGCAAGCCTATAGGACAGAGTAGAACTGCCCCATAGGGTTTCCAAGGCTGTAAATCTTTGTGGAAGCAGATTGCCTCATCTTTCTTCTGGGGATGTGGCTGGTGGTTCAAATTGCTAACCCTCTGGTTAGTAATCAAGCACTTAGGCAGTGCACCACCAGGGCTCCTTCCTGATTGATCAGTTCTGTTCTATGTACGTGAAATTGCCATGATTTGGAATAGACTCAGTAGCAGCTAACAATAACAACAACACAA